AAAAATTACATTCAAAGCCAAGGGGCTTTTTCCTCTTTCATATGTGCCTGCTAGTTTTCCCATCCCTTTATTTTCATTCTTTCTGTATTTTTTTGTCATGAATCCCATAGACACCATAGTAAGTTATCCCCCCCCACCCCAGTTTAGGGATTCTCTTTTGCTTGGTGAACCTATTTATGTTTCTTATAATTACTATTGTATTTTTGTCATCTTTTTTCATGTTTTTTAGTTCATTCTTCTCTCAATCCTTTCTTGCCTTTTTTTTTTAGAAGAGAAATTTCCTTCTGCCAGTGTGAAAGCATATATGTTATTTTTATTCTTCTGAGTTGTTCCCTAGTATATTTTTCTGTGACTATCTTATCTGTATCTCTATCTCCCCCACTCCAGAGCCACATCTTTTCCCTCTTCCTGCCCACCATAGCAATACTGTCTACAGTTTTAGTTCTCGGTTGTTTAGAATGTACATAGAGTGGTGAATATATTACTCGTTTAGACAACAGTGAACTTAATGTTGTGGAGTTTTTTCAACCTTACTTTTCATATACAATATCTCATAACATCCTCCTAGATTAACTCTCAGAAATACTTGAGTGTTCACCAAGAGGATCTTTAAATGGTAAACCATATGAGGCCTTGAATTATTAATACTAAGAATATCTTCCTTTTTTCTCACATTTAAATGATAGCCTGGATGAATAAAAAAAAAAAATGGAATGCAAAAATTTTGAAGCTATAATATAAAGCTTTGAAAATACTATCTTCTGTAATTATTGTTAGCAGAATGTCATTCCCCGGCTTCAGATTGTTGAGTCCTTATTGCCTACTCTGTCAGTCTGCATGATTTTGACCTTTGGGACCCTTTACCAATTACACTTTCTGTCTTTTCACTAATCTCCATTCTCAGCCCCAAAGCAGGCTCTCCATCCCAGCCAAGTGAATTCATTTGGCATCTACATGCTGCCTTCCCCTGCCCTGTGCGGCCTGCCCCTCCTGCAGTTGAATGCTTATTCTCACCTTCCTGGCTTCCTATATACTATTTCCCAGTGTGAAAATCTCACATTTTCTACCAGAGCATGTTCTTTTTATGGATTCATCTATTCGGCGACGTTTATTTAGTATTTGCTCTGTGCCAGGCATTTTGCTAGGCAATAGGGATACAGAGTTCTTGCCCCCAGGGAGCTTCACTGTCCTGTGGGAGACACAGACAAGTAAATAGGCAATTACAGTTCAGCGTGGTTAGTGCTGAGATAGAAAATATCGGATGCCCTGGGGGCTTATACAGAAGGGACATGTTGGTATGGGGAGGGGAGAGGTGTCACTGGGACATTCCAAAGACAGTGAGTGACCCGGACTGTCTGAAATTGAGCGTTAAGTTCCTTAGCCAAAGAAGAAAAGAAAACTAGAACCAAAACTTCATCTGTCAGAAAGCTATGGAAGGTCATGAAAAAAGGACTTAGTGTGGAGCTGCCATTTCTTCCGCCTTCGGTCTCTGCGCCTTTTCACAGAGCTTCCAACAGCTCCATGTTGGCACAGAGTATCCAGAGGTGTCCGTAGAAGCCACTATGAGTAGGGCCCCGGGAAAATTTTGCCATTTTTGGTGGAAAATAAGTGGTGGTCACTAATTACGATGACTTTGTACTTTGGATCTGGATTTGCTGCACGTTCCTTTACAGTAAGACACCAACTGCTCAAGACGTAAAGACGTTTTAATTCATCCACGTAACAGATACAGAGAGCATTTTAAGAGGTGCAGTCTCTTTGAAAAATGGATCAAACTCTTGAACTCATAGCATACTAGATAGGTTTGTGAATAAACTTAAGATATAAAAAAAAAAAGAAAGCTATGTATTATTGACCTCACCTGACCCGTGGCAGCTGGAGAGTCTGCCTTCCTCTTGACGTTGGTCTACTCAGTACAAACTCTTAAAATTTGCATTCTATTTTCTATGGCTTTTTGAAAAATCCTTTTTTTTTAAAAAAAAAAGAAAGCTATGTATTATTGACCTCACCTGACCCGTGGCAGCTGGAGAGTCTGCCTTCCTCTTGACATTGGTATACTCAGTACAAACTCTTAAAATTTGCATTCTATTTTCTATGGCTTTTTGAAAAATCCTTTTTTTTTAAATTATACACAAATGTTTTCAACTAGATTATAAGCTTCTAGAGACTGGGTCTTCTCTTTCTCGTGCCTTGTGCAAAGTGTTCAATTAAAATTAACCATGAGAGGCCCAATGCAGTGGCCACAACATTCTTGGGGTTAGGGTTTTTCAAAATTTTATTCCACAAGCTTGTTTGTGACTGTCAACTTTGTAAGGTATTTTTAGTTGATATTTGGACAAGGTGGATTTTT